TTTAAGCGCCACCCAGTGACGTTATGTGTCGTCTGAGTAAGAGCAGTGACGTCATCTGGCATATGATTGTACCCATGACGTCATCTCATATCTTCGTAGTCGCGCTGTACGTGCGCATTGTTAAATCTGTCGGTTTAAACGGTCAGTGATGACTTAGACTTGCGCCTGACGTCGTTTATCTCACTGGGTTCGAATGCATCGCATCGACGACGGGTCAGTCTACGAGCAGAAACCGCGCGTGTTGGAATGCCCGTGAACGCTATCTCGGCGAGAGATCGTGTTTTTGTGTTTTTTGTATAGGCTTGTCTAACGTCGTGATGGCGTATACGTAGCCCTAACTATAACAGTCATTGCCAACATCATCAACATTGTCAGCATTGCCAACATTGCCAACATTGCCAACATTTCAACAAACATTCATTGCCAACATCGCCAACATCGCCAACATTTCAACAAACATTCATTGCCAACATTGCCAACATTGCCAACATCGCCAACAAACGTTTATTCGTAACGTCGGTATTGTGTATACGTCGCCGTAGCTCTACCGGTGTAGTAGTCCCTCCGCTCCCTCTACCGGTGTAGTAGTCCCTCCGCTCCCTCTCCAGGGAAGGGAAGTGTCGCTCTCCTGTAGCGGGAGCGAAGCCCGGGTTACCACACCGGTACCACTACACTACAGCTACCACACCGCTAGAGCAAACATCGCAGCTGATAGCTGGCAAATGATCACCACAAAACATGTAGTCTCGCAATTTTCTCCTACAACTCCCTCTCCTTCTCCCTCTCCTTCTCGCTCTCCCCCATCTTTCTCGCTCGCTCTCCCATCTTTCTCTCTCGCTCTCCCATCTTTCTCTCTCGCTCTCCCATCTTTCTCTCTCGCTCTTTATCGCTGTCTCTCCCCCCCTCTTTCTCTTTCTCTTTCTCCCCTCACTTTCTCTCCCTCTCGCTCTTCCTCGCTCGCTCTCTATCCGCTCTCTCTCCGCGCGCGCTCCCTCTCTCTCCGGGACGCGGTGGCATGCCTTAGCATGCCTTAGCAACATGCTCGCGTGCGTGTGCTGCTGGGAGCAGAAAGCGAACGCTGGCTGGCTTTCGCTCGCTGGCTGCTGCCGCTGCTGCTGCGGCGGCGATCGAAGGGTGAAATTCGGGTAACAGCGTGAGTGAAAGTAGACTGGTCCCTGTGCGGTGCTCGCGAGGGCAGAATTACGTAGAGCCGCAAAGGGGGCGCCAGTCTGCCGAGCTAAGGTAAATAAACCATCCGGGCAGAGCCGGGTGAATGAACTTGCCAAACCGGTCGACTCGGTGCGCATAAAACCCGGGACGGCAGCGAAGACGCGACGGCCTGCTGCGCGTGTGAGACCGCAAAGCAGCAAGGCGTTTATGGCACCATCTAGTGTGAAAGAAAGGCGTTATTCTTTTTAGTCGTGACATAACGCGTTTCGACGAAGATTATTATAATGGCATCATTGCCAGATACTCATCGTTTCACTTGTTATAATGGCTGCTTGCTCGTGGGTATCTTCATGAAAATACAATATGATATATCAACCGATGTTTTCCCTGCGGCCCTGCCCGCTATGTTGTAATGTCAATTGTGGCAGAGCTAAATGCAACACATATTTTCTTTGTAATTTGGGGGATTTTATTTGTCAAAAAGTGACAGCGTGCACTTTATTCATTGTATAGAATATGGCTTACATACTAGATGACTTATCATATAATGGTTTATCTCTGAGTCAGTGTTTTTATGGGCGAATGAGTAAGAAAATTGAGTAAGAAATAAGAATGAATCATATGTCATGAACAAAAATCATGGAATGTCATTCTATTACTATGAGAAAATAGTGTGCGCAGTTCTCATTCTCTGTAGCATATCCGATGTATGCCAGCTGTTGTTAGTGTCAACGTCTGCAGTTCTGCCCACCGTCTGCCCACCTGGCAGATACATCGCTCTCATTATTCTCAATGCCGCTATAATAATTCACCCGCATAAAACTCTGACATCGATCTTCGCATTGCAGAAAAACGTGCGGCAGAAGTACCACCATCCCGTCGCCATGGCGACCGAAGGCTCCAATGAGATCAAGGTGCGATACCGCCAGTCTGACGTCAGCATCATCTCCAAGGCGACGATGTGGTGGATGAACGGGATTCTGCTGGAGGGATACCGGCAGCCGCTGGAGATGTCAAACTTAGGAACCATGCCACATGTGCGTGTCAATCACAGCAAACTATAGTTTACAAAATAATGTATATCTCACTGGAGTCTGAAATCTCACGGTGAAAGAAGTTTTCCGAAGTTAATATGTCGTTTTAATTTTTAAATGGTGTTATCGAGCAAATTTGTAAACATTAAGAATACTTTATTTTTGCATTGGTAAATTTTAAATTTTAAATAATTACGAGCTAATCAAAGGATATTTTCTTTCTAGAAGTAACTGTTCCTGATAATAGAACCATTTCTTTTCTCATCTAACAGTAATAACATATATTTATATATATATTTGCATTTTTCTTTGACAGGAGCACAAAGCACAATTACAGTTTGAGAAATTTAGCAGAATATATGCAGATGAAAAGGTAACGTATGTTCACAGTTTAATTCACGTATAAAATTAAAGTGACTCTAGGTTGTCATTTGGGAATATTCTAAAAAAATATCTGTGAAGCCTATCATGGTGTTGCTCTACAAATAACTACAAATAACAACAAATAACAACAAATAAGTATGAATTTCTTCTATTCAATAAAAAATAAAAATGCTTACGATGAAAGTACGCTTGTTCTTTCAGCACAAGTCAGCAGACCAGCCCTCCCTCTGGTGGTGCTACGTGAGACTAACGTGGCGGATGATGATGATGAGCGGACTGTATAAGTTATTCGGTGACCTTCTCGCCTTCGTCGCACCCTGGGTCATCGACCGGGTCATCCGATATGTCGTCCTGTACGACGCCGATGTGGCGCCCCCTGGCGACCTCACAAACGTGGTGCGTGTGACATTAGCGGCAATCGGCGGTTCGAATTTTCGTTTATCGGTGCTCTCGTGGAATCGTACGCGTTTTCGTCAAGATTGCCAGCTTCGTAAAATGTTTCGAAATTCAGGAACGTGACGTAAAACCAGTGGGAAATTCGGTCATGTTGCTAAGCAACATATTGTTATTGTGTTATCGTATTCGTAGCCTGTATCAGTATTTATCCATTGGTCTTGTTTGTACATGGCTATGATATAACTCTAATAATAAAAAAAGAAAAGTAGAGGAAGTTTAAAAAGAGAATAGTATAGAAGTGTTAGTAAAATTGTTTACAAGGTCTTGTTTGCGTGTGGCTATGATATAACTCTAATGATTAGAGTAAGTTAGGAGAGAGAGTAGTAGAGACGTGGTAGTAGAATCGTTGACAAGTGTTTTACCCATCTAGGCAAATTTGTAGTCACAGCAGATGCTTCCGTTGGTTCAGAGTGGATTTTACTTAGAGTCCAAGTGTAAAAGTTTATCATCACCTTTCATCGAGTTTCTCTCGTGCCGTAGTTTAGCCGCGAAAGAGCTGGAAGGGAAGAGTGGTTCTACAGAGATCGTGAAGCTGAACGAGACACTTCGTCTGGTTTTATTTGCAGACGACGACCACACAGGATGTCGTCACGATCGAGTACTTTGTAAATAACGGCTTCGTGCTCAGCTTCCTTCTCTTCGTCTCCTCTCTGCTGCACCACACCTTCACCCAGAGTTCGTTTCTCTACTCTGCGATAGAGGGCATGCAATTAAAGGCTGCTGTACAGGTAAGTGTGTGCGTGCGTGCGTGCGCGAGCGTGCGTGCGTGTGTGTAAGGGGGTGGGTCCTCGAGGCTGTCTTTGTAAGCTGTTTACAGTCATACCTGTCTTTGCAATCACCACTGTAGAATGAACACCCGTTCATAAAGGACAGTTTGGTCGTTTCCGTTGAGTGTCAATTATAGTGAAACATCTCAACATAATCAACACCTGTCTATAAAGGACATCTCAACATAATCAACACCTGTCTATAAAGGACACTTTCGAAGCTTCCCTTGAGTGACGACCCTAATATACAAGTTTAACTGTGTATTAAGTGAGTGTTGTAAGGCATGGAGGTCGTGTTGCTAGTTACTATGGCAACCAGTGGAAAAAATATACGGGGACTCGGGGCGATTTAGCCACCTGAAATGCCAAAAAGAGCCCCGGAAATGCCCAAAAGAGCCCCCGTAAATTTACATATAGTTTAATGCAAACCAAATTTTAGAGTGCTATTTTCATGCACGCAAGCTTGAAAAGTAGCCCCCGAAAAATAAATTTTTTTCCTTGATGGCAACGTTCTCATCGTCTGCTTCCCTGCTCTCTCCTGCAGTCGTACATCTATAACAAGGCGCTGAAGCTGGCGTCGTGGAACGACAAGGGGTCAGGTATCAACGTCGGGGAGATCACGAACCACCTGTCGACCGACGCCAGCAACCTGCTGATGGCTGCCTCCTTCTTCCACTTCACCTGGACTATACCTCTGGAGGTAGGTTGGAGTGTAGATTCCTTGCTAATGAATGCCTTCACAGAAGCCGTGGTTGTCATGTAGGTTGCGGCGTAGATCTCCTCGTTGCGACTGCCTAATGCAGTGGTTCTTAACCTTTTTTGAGTCATGGACTCCTTTGAGAATCTAGTGAAAGCTACGAACCCCTTCTCCAGAAAAATGCACTTAAGCGCATAAACACACAATTTTTTATGTGCCTGGTTTACGAACCCCCTGAAGCCCATCCACGGACCCCACAGCGGTCCATGGACCACAGGTTAAGAACCCTTGGTCTAATGAATGGCTTCACAGAAGCTGCGGATGTCGTGTGGGTGATGTGATTGTCCCTCGTGGCAATGCACCGAGACCGTCACGCCCGGGCCGCGGTGACGATCACTGCGGTGCCATAACATGTGTCAAATTAATGTGGGGGAAATAGTGATGAAGCCACCACATTGTAAGGTGTCTCCCTACTACAGTGACACTTTAAAAAAAATTCTTTCCCCCGTGCATCAGTGCAGTAACGCAAGTCAAAATAATGCGTAAAAAAATTCATGAAACCCATTAAGTTCTATAGGTTGGTACCACACCGCAATGGCACTGTAATGTATGTAAATAAAGCTAGTGTGCAAAATCGTCATGAAATGTTGAGCATAGGATGCCATCCCCACGCTCCACACACATAGGCACTATAAAGATATGCCGATATGTGCCTCTTCCCTGCCACAGCGCCACTATCACGCGTTTCCGCCTGCAGTCGAGTACGGTCACACTAATCTTCTCTGTGTCTCTTTCTCTAGTGCGGTGAAGCTAATCTTTTTTCTCTCTCTGTTCGATTTCTCTCTGGCAGATTGTTTTCATCGCCTGCATGCTCTACTACTACCTGGGATACAGTGCATTGATAGGAATCGCCGTCGTCGTCGTCTTCCTTCCTGTGCAGTACCGCATCGCATCCCTGTTAGCGGGCATACAGAAACACACCATGGTAAGTCACAGTGAGGTCTGTGGGAGGGGGGATACTTCCCGTGCAGCTCCGCAGCATCGCATCCCTGTTAGCGGGCATACAGAAACACACCATGGAAGTTCACAGTGAGGTCTGTGGGGGGATACTTCCGCGTGCAGTACCGCATCGCATCCCTGTTAGCGGCATACAGAAACACCCATGGTAAGTGACAGTGAGTCTGTGGAGGGGGGGGATACTTCCCGTGCAGTACCACATCGCATCCTGTTAGCGGGTAACCAGAAACACACCATGCGTAAGTGACAGTGAGGTCTGTGGAGGGGGATACTTTCCGTGCAGATACCGCATCGCATCCCTGTTAGGCGGGCATACAGAAACACCGACCATGGTAAGTCACAGTGACGGTTGTGGGAGGGGGATACTTCCCGTGCAGTACCGCATCGCATCCCTGTTAGCGGGCATACAGAAACACACCATGGTAAGTGACAGTGAGGTCTGTGGGAGGGGGGATACTTCCCGTGCAGTACCGCATCGCATCCCTGTTAGCGGGCATACAGAAACACACCATGGTAAAGTGACAGTGGAGTCTGTGGCAGGAGGGGGATACTTCCCGTGCAGTACCGGCCATCGCATCCCTTTACGGGCATAACAGAAACACACCATGGTAAGTCACAGTGAGGTCTGTGGAGGGGGGATACTTCCCGTGCAGTACCGCATGCGCATCCCTGTTAGCGGCAACAGACACACACCATGGTAAGTCCAGTGAGGTCTGTGGGAGGGGGGGGATACTTCCCGTGCAGTACCGCATCGCATCCCTGTTAGCGGGCATACCAGAAAACACACCATGGTAAAGTGACAGTGAGGCCTGCTGGGAGGGGGGATACTTCCCGTGCAGTACGCCATCGCATTCCGCTGTTAGCGCGGCATACAGAAGCACACCATGGTAAGCTGACAGTGAGGTCTTGTGGGAGGGGGGGATACTTCGCTGCAGTACCGCATGCATCCCTGTTTAGCGGGTATACAGAAACACCCCATGGTAAGTGACGTGAGGTCTGTGGAGGGGGGGGGATACTTCCCGTGCAGTACCGCATCGCATCCCTGTTAGCGGGCATACAGAAACACACCATGGTAAGTCACAGTGAGGTCTGTGGGAGGGGGGGGGATACTTCCCGTGCAGTACCGCATCGCATCCCTGTTAGCGGCATACAGAAGCACACCATGGTAAGCTGAACAGTGAGGTCTGTGGGAGGGGGATACTTCCCCGTGCAGTACCGATCGCTCCCTGTTAGCGGGCATTACAGAAGCACACCATGGTACGGTGACAGTGAGGTCTGTGGGAGGGGGGGGATACTTCCCGTGCAGTACCCGCATCGCTCCCTGTTAGCGGGTATACAGAAGCCACACCATGGTAGGTCACAGTGAGGTCTGTGGAGGGGGGGGATACTTTCCGTGCAGTACCGCATCGCATCCCTGTTTGCGGGCCATACAGAAGCACACCATGGTAAGTGACAGTGAGGTCTGTGGCGAGGGGGATACTTCCCGTGCAGTACCGCATCGCATCGCCCTGTAGCGGGTATACAGAAACACCCCCATGTAAGTGACAGTGAGGTCTGTGGGAGGGGGGGGATACTTCCCGTGCAGTACCGCATCGCATCCCTGTTAGCGGGTATACAGAAACACACCATGGTAGGTCACAGTGAGGTCTGTGGGAGGGGGGATACTTCCAGTATTGTTCCCTTGCAGTAGGAAATCGAATGTAGGATTCAAGTAGGAATTTGGATGAAGGATTGGACTAGAAAGTTAAATCTAAGATTGTAGTTTGAAACTGTATGTAGGGATAGGCAATCGAATGTAGGATTGTCACATATTCTGCTCTCCTCCCGTGTGTGTATTCGTCACCATGTCATCCCATCACTGTTCGTGTTGTCTGCCTCCCGCAGGAGTGCATGGATGAGAGGATGAAGCGGACGAATGAGCTTCTGCAGGGAATCCGCAGCATCAAGCTGTACGCGTGGGAAGCCCTCATGTGCGACCGCGTGCACGCCGCACGACGCCGGGAGCTGCACTACCTACTGCGCGGCGCCTGCGTGCGCGCCCTCTCCAGTAAGTACACACACACACACACACAGGAAGCCATCGTCGACACGACTGGTTTTGTTATTTTTAATTAACGACGATGTTTACTTTACATGCGATTAATGCTTCACTACCAGCGTACTGTCTGCGTGTGTACACAGTGCAGTGAGTAGTGCAAAGGGGAGTTATAATGATCGCAGAAATTATTTGTGAGTTGATAAACTCAATTATCCCATGGGTGTTGATATTGTAGGCGGGTTTAGAATGTTACGATGCACAATCAAATTATATGATGGATTTGTACATGTATGTTGGTTGTTTACTGTGAGCATATGTTGCTTATTGCAAATGCTGGCTTTGAGTTGGTTTATATACATACATAAATAGTGGGTTGCTTTTTCCTTTACAGCCTTTGTAAACAATGGAGTTCCAATCATAGTCACTCTTTTGGTAAGTATATGAAATTAAATAGAAAAATCAAGTATAAAGAGTAGTAAATGTGACCAAACAAACAAAGTTTAGTAATATATTAAGATAAAAGTCTTATATAAGATGAAGTCACTTATCTAAGTAAGTGCTTCTAACCTCTCTGTACTATAGGTAACATTAGACTAGAATGCTTACGGTAATACTGTACTAATACAACAGCTTATGTACACTGTGATCAGTAGTATTTTCTAGGCAGCCCTCCTCTCCGACCCTCACGTCTCCTCTCTCTCTTGCTTGCAGTCGTTTGGTCTCTACACGCTCTTCGAGGGAGAGCTGACTGCGACGAAGGCCTTCTCCTCGCTCGCGCTCTTCAACATGCTCAACCTGCCACTGTTCATGTTCCCTGCGATTGTCTTCATCATGGTGTCTGCGCGCGTCAGCACCGGCCGCCTCGCAGCATTCTTCGAGGCTCCCGAGGTCGACGCGAAGGAAGGGAGCGCCGCTGTTGTCGGCAACGGCGACAGCCGCGATCCGCGTCGGCATGTTGCTAACGGTTACGTGCCGTCGTCGACGGCGATGAAGAACGGCGTCGGCAAGTGCAAGATGTCGAACGGAGATCTCGAGGTGAGGATCACGCGTCTGTGGCAAGACTAACGATTATCACTGATTATTGACTAATTGATGAAACCTAGGTCTGGTTACTGCATGCGAGTGATTATTTCAAGGACGTCAAAGAACATAGCGCGAAATGTCTGCGTATTCTTATTACTAACATCACTTAAAAATACATTTAATAGTGAAATTTCTACATCAACAGTTACACTTAATTTGATGTTCGCTGTTAATAGTGTCGTATAACATCTTAAAAAATACTGCGGCAATGGTGGCGAATAAACCCCAACAACGCACCTGTATTACAATGGATGCGGTGAATCGCCGTCGTTATCGACGCAGCAACGACAATGCGCGTGCGTGACAACAGTTTAACGGTCGCACAAAGACGCGACGTCATTCTCGAAGCGTAACCATGGTAACCGTCTCTCTTCCCCGCGCAGCTTCACGTCGGCGAGGGGGAGCCGCCGCTGTCGCGGAAGCCAGCCGTCGTCGTTGCCGTGGAGACGGAGCTGACGACGCTGCGTAAGCACGGCTCGGTGCTGGAGATGTGTGACGCGAGCTTCGCCTGGGATCTACACAGCAAGCAGCTTACCCTTCACTCCATCAACCTGCAACTGCCAGCAGGTCAGCCAGCAGCGGACAATGTCTCCTGGTCCCCACACACACACTGAAAGTTCCACACGTCAAATTTTACGTCAAAATTCTACGTCAAATTTCACGTTAAATTCCACGTCAGAATTCCACGTCAAATTCCACGTCAAAATTCCATGTTAAATTCCACATTAAAATTCCACGTTAAAATTCCCCCTCACAAGGTCGTGCGGGGGTCGGTGGGTGAAAGTCCAGACAGGCGGACGGATGGACGCATGGATGGGTACATAGAGCGCGATTGTTCGAACGCGTTCGACTTCGCTCGGGCCGGCATTTTTCATAGACATATCCGTCGGTTGTTTTGCAGTAAACCTTCGTCCACAGGCCATAAATGACAGGCGGCAGGGCCATATAACAGGTTGCGTGTTCGATTGTTGTTTGCTAGGAACGCGGAGTTTTTTTTTCTTTGCGGGGAAAGGGAAGTTTATTGCGTAACTTGTTCTGCGAAAGCATCATTGCGGTTAGGACATAAAATTGCGATTCGTAGACAACGCCCGTAGCGTGTGATGTGTGACACATCTATGAGATCGGTGGGGGGGGGGGGGGGAACAACACTAACTGACTCCACAGGCTGCATAAACATGCGTGCTGGTCCCTCCTTTTTTTTCCTTTGTTAAATAGCTTTGCTCCCTAACTTTTAATGTACTACTTAAAAATGAAATCGGGCTGGCGGCGAGATTTTTTAACAATGCAGTATTGCAGAAACGACTGGTTGTAGCTCTCAGTGCAAAATCCGACATAGAAGAAATATGTCTGCAACATTGGGAAGCATGTCGTTATTAGTACTGGAGTTACCTCTACTGTAAAGCCCAGCACTGGTGACCTTTACGTGACCTGCTGCAGTGACCCCCCTGCCCTCCTCAACTCGGGTCAGACCTGTACGCTGCTGATTGGTTGCTGTCGTCAGGCAGACATATTGAATTTGCCAGACGATCTTTTGAGTTTAGGCAGCCAAGGTCAGGTGCTAGGTCAGGGAAGCGGTAAAATTAAAATGTACCAGTCGATTCCTAGAAAAGGGAGATAAAAATACAAATCGAACGTGCCGTCTCCTCGAGATGTGAAAACGAAGGTGATCTTATCGCCGCACGCATTTAGGATTTGAACGACCTTGGCGGCGACCGTCTAAGGACGAGAGAGCGCCACGTCGACGGCGGTAAATGCAAATGACGGCGTGGAATTGGAGACGCCCTCATGCATGCGCGCGGCGGAGCGTCATATAATTAAACGCCGTCGCGCGCGCTCACGGATCACACGTCGTTAGACGATCACGCCACTCATGCTAATTATGTGCGGTTACCGGATCTACATCACACCTGTGGGAGCGGCGGGGTGGGGTGGGGTGGCAACACAGACATAATATGGCCTACTTGTCTAGCAGCTCTAGCCAATCAGTGCCCTTGCTGTCACGTTCTAAAACACAATTCTTGTCAGGAAAGTGTTACAAAGTCGATATTTTGGCGTGCGCGTACGAATGAGCTCTCTCCCCAGGTAAACCAATTTAAAACTTTCTCTCTCCCACCAGCATAACTCACTCTCCCCTGCGCTCTCTCTCTCCAGGTAAACAAATGATAGTTAACACTTTCTCCCCCAATTTCTCCCCAGGTAAGCTGACGATGGTTGTCGGCTCGGTGGGCTGCGGTAAGTCGAGCTTGCTGTCTGCGATCCTGGGTGAGATCTACACGGTGTCTGGTAGTGTGGACCACCGCGACGCCACCGCCGCCGCATCGATCGCGTACTGCGCTCAGACGGCGTGGCTGCTCAACGCATCACTGCGTGACAACATCACCTTCGGACAACCTTACGAGCACGCCAGGTAACGACAGGGGAGGAAGGGGAGGGGAGGGGAGGGGGTGAGCGAGGGAGCAGGGAGGCACGCCAGGTAACAAGGGAGGGAGGGAAGGGAGGGGAGGGGAGCGAGGGAGCAGGGAGGCACGCCAGGTAACAA